CTGACAGCACTTCGCAGCAGCACGGACTCATCCCCAGCCTCCACGAACCCTGCATCTCAAAGGCCCAACTCTGCTTGCCAGTTTCTGTTTGCAAAATCACTGAGGAAGGACCTTTCTCAATTGCCTCCTGCAGTTTATTTCAGGCTCAAACCCACATTTAAGTGTAACCAGATTCCTTCCGCTGCGGTGACAAGCCAGAAGCCATGTGTTGCTTAAGGTGCACTGTGTGCCTCGCATCTAGGAAGCGAGGAACATTCCCCAGGGCTTCGTTGGGTGACACATAGGAGTCACTGGAGAGAGCAGGGGGTGCTACTTATTATTATTATAAGGAAGGGAGAGGGACGGGGAGAGAGAGAGAGATGGATGTGAGAGTGAGACATTGATTGGCTGCCTCCTGCATGACCCCCACTGGGGATTGAGCCTGAAACCTGGGCATGTGCCCTGACTGGGAATCAAACTGGCAACCCCTTGGTCTCCAGAATGATGCCCGACCAACTGAGTCACCATGACCAGGGCAGCTACTGGTTCTTAATGTGCTTCTAACCACAGTGGGTCTCCGTGTCCTCATCTGCCAAAGGGAATAAGGACCTCTGTCTATTTCTTGGCTTTCCTGCCATGCGCAGTCCATCAGCGGGCTTGAAAGCACCCGCACCCTCTCACGGGCTGGGCCGTGGGCCCACACCACAGGCACACGGAGAGAGAGAGGGAAACAAATAAAAATTTAAATAGGGGCGAGCGAGGACAGGAGCTGAGAATGCTATTCCCTCAGCTGGTCTTGGCTCCCACATGCCTCTCACAGCGTGAGCATCTCTTCTCACTGTGATTCCGAAGTGTTTCAAGACATATACATCCTCATACATCACGGCCCTGAAATGCAAACCAACTACTTCATCTGGTACTCAACCAAGAAAACAGCGATCTGTTGCAACACTGTAGGAAACACTGCTGGTGTTGGAATTTTTTTTTTTTTTATGGGCAATATGCTCATCTTCACCCCGGCCCCTTTCTAAGGAGTTTTCAAGGGTAGTAGTTTTGCCTGTGTCTGCCACACGCTGCCTTTGAGCTTAACTCCCATGCAAGAGGCGCCTCCTTTGAACAGCCGTGGGGCTACTGACTGTACACTGCCCCAGCCAGGCCTTCTCCTGCACCTTCCGCCTTCTGGAAGGTGAGAGAAGGGATCTCCCCCTGGGGAGGGGGTGCAGAGGCAAGAAGCTCTGTGTTACCAGCCTTCCCTCCGAGGACACCGGTTTGACAATCATCACAGCCCCTGCGGCCCGCTGGCCCCCACGGACTTGCGTTCCTTTTGGCAGCCGCCCAGCCCCAGCCCCTGACATTGACCGTGCAGGCAGGCGCGCCTGCAGTTGTAGTGCCGCACGCAGCCGCTCCACCTCTCTCATTCATCCTGCAGCTCATTCACTCCGGGCTCGGGCAGGCTGCGGCGGGGCCCCAGCCCTCGCAGGCACTCCGTGTGGCAATTTATTTATGGCCATGTGCGTGCATGCGTGGGGAGA